TGCATTAATTGTTCATTGGAAAAACAAACATAATGAATTCGCAAATCCATCTGGTAGGGTTCTAGAAAATCTACTGATCTGATTTTATCGCAAAGTTCACCAGTTAGTGAACAAGATTGCTTCCACCTGGACCGCAGTCATTTCTTACAGGTTAATTCCACACAGAGCAGTCACGTTTATATGTGGTTAATATAATGATGAAGCTATGAGTTTTATAAAATGATTCATACTCTGGGTGGAACCAATCTTGGATTCAAATGTGAACCACAGTCCATTTATTGGCAGGAAAATAAATGCACATCTTTTTGCACATTTCAGGAAAACTGCACAGAGATGCACACAGATTTCAGTCAATTGTAGCAACCTCGACCCTACAGCAGATCTAGTTCAATTCACTGTTCAGAACTTTTCATACAAATCACTAAAACCTTCAACACTAACACTTTTCACCAGTTTTCAATAACTTCACCGGGCTTAAAATAGAGTTCATCTCACCCAATGACTGAATGAAAACTTCCTCGTGACTCACTGTTGTTGGCTTTTGCCCAAACTCAGACATTATTACACACCATTTCCACCCAGTTTTTGACAGATAAATCAGCATTTATTTCCAAGAAGATATTTTATCTACATATATATCTATTTTTAAGGTGCATATGGAATACTATGGAAGATCGGTTTTATTTTGTGTGAAGAACATGTTGGATATTTTGTCAATAGAACAATCATTTGATTTAAATTTTTCAAAAAAAACGCATAAAACAACCTCTGCTCCCAGATTGTTATTTTTATTTTCGAACAACTGTAACTGTAACTTCCTGAATCTGTGTATTTTTCATGTTCACTATCATTATTGCTACCATCTTCATATCCTTCGTACAGAACTTCTAGAACAAAAGATAAAGTACAAATCAGAATCAAACTGCTGCAAAGGAGTGTGTCAGAACCAATAATGGATCTCATCTGCAAAATAAACGTCCTGTTAAAAATAATTGTATTTCAGTCTTGTTTTTGTGTTTGTGACTCTGAGGAGTTTCCATCTGATGAGTGACTCGAATTTCTTCAGTAGCTTGACTTTCTGTATCTCTTATATTAACCAGGTTGCAAATGTGATTGTTCAGCTGAAGTATTCCGAATAAGGTGTTTACCCAGTATTCTGATTAATATAGAAAGTGAGCAACAAGTGGAGAATATGATCATAATTCTTGGTTCTAGTAAGAACTAGCTGCTGCATTTAATGTGCATATGAGCATTATGCATATGCTCTCAATTTATAAAGCAAAAGGCTAATTCATGCATTCATGTTCTACCAGCACTGTTTTTAGGAGAGAAAATCTGAAACGGTATTATAAGATGAAAAACATGGCGTAACAATAACTGAGGTGTTGCTGTATTGAGGATTGCCATTTAATAATACGCTTACTGCTCAAGTGTTCTACATTTTATTTAATCAAACATATAAACATGCATACATATTCAAAGCATTTTCCTGTATTAAATTAGTATTCTAGTACTCAATGAAATGTTATGGTAGCAACACTTGTATTAGATTAATAGATGTAATATATTTTAGATTAATAGATTCTGCTTGTATTGTTTTTTTGTTGTTGCAAGCTACTTTAGATCGAACATGTGCTGAGTGAATGAATGTCAGTGAAAATATACTGCGTGCCAAAACTAAAAAATCTCTCCAAGATTTCCAGCATCAGAGCTGAAGATGGGTGGATTGTGAAAAGTGGGTGAATTCAATTACACATAGGAATCAGTTGAAAAGTAATTTTTCTTTGGAATAACATGTAGTGACTAATTGTACACAATTAAACCAGGAACATGTATTAAAAGTTAAAAAGGCATTGTGACATGGTGCTGAAAAAAAAAATTTGATGGGAGGAAAAAATGGTTATGCGTAAGCATATTCTGCTTAACAGTTCTGCGTGCTGCGTTCATATTCTAGGTTCATCTGCTTGCCTGTACATAGTATATACTTTTTTTCAATAAACTGTATACCAAATTTGGACTTTTTATATTATTAATTCATTCATTCATTACTTTTATAGCGCTTTACATTGTCAGGGGATATCTCCTCATCCACCACCAATGTGCAGCATCCACCTGGATGATGCGATGGCAGCCATAGTGCGCCAGAACGCCCACCACACACCAGCTTACTGGTGGAGAGGAGACAGAGTGATGAAACCAATCAGCATATTACCGTCTTTGCCCAGAAACACATTGCATTACACCAAATACACCAAATAATGTTCTTTTTAGCAACATCATATGACCCCTTTAAGCATTTTCTTTATAATGGTTTTCTATGGGGGAGAAATTGCAAAACGTGCAATGTAGCGCATTGCGTTCATTCTGGGATTTTCTGGGCTATTCTGCTTGTCTGTAAATAGTAGCTATGCTTTTATTAATAAGGTGTGTACTGAATTTGGTCCTTCAATGTCACGGTTTAAGTCCATTACGCCACGTTAAGTGTTTTTCACGTTAAGTGTTTTTCACGTTAAGTGTTTTGGAATGTCCCAAAACCGTGCCTTGAACAAACTGACCATATTTCTTTATACTTGAGTCCAAGTTCAAAATAAAACCATTGTGAACATATGGAGCTGTCTGTACCATTGCATACTGTAAAGTAATCAGGATTTGTCTAAACTCAGGTTTTGCGAGAGAACGCAACATTTTGCAAGAGAGTGCAAAAGCTTTGAACAATAGTTTTCCTCCCATCCTGTATTTTTCCACCACCATGTCCCTTTTGGGGCTCCGTGGAAACTTTTGAGCTCCCCGAGAAAGCAAAAGCACTGATGTGTTCCTTCCACCTCACCTGCAAGCAAACGCAAGTTTTCAGATTCAACACAAAGGCCTCGAAATATAATTTGACCTCCCATCTAATTTTTATAACGCACAGATGAACAGGCATTTGAGATGACAATCATCACATAAATCTATAAAACCATAACTAGCATGGTTCATGTCCTGTACCTAGTTCTAAAACATAAATACAGTTAAACTGTGTCCGCAAGCATTTTTAGTCATCTTTTTTTTCACACACACTTTCATGGTTTTCGCTTTCAAGAGCTGGTGTGGATTCGTCTGGTTCTGATGAAGATGTGGTCTCTGGTCCAGCAACATGTTCTGTGAGATGAATGACTTCAGCCGGCTCCGTCTCTAAATCAGATAATCCCAGATTTACAGAATCTGTATGAAACAACACCTCTAACTCACATTCAGGTCTGTATTTTACAGGTTTATGTGTATTTTGCACCCTTTCTCACCTTTCAGCATAATCTGCTCATCATCCATTGACGTATTCATTGATTTCTCACCTGCTGTGGGAGTGGATGTGTTTGAGAGGATCGGGGTATCTGGGGTTTGATTTTGAGGGGTCGGGGAACTTGGGGACTGATTTTCGGGGATCTGAGCAGGTGGGGCTGAGGGACATGGTGTACCTGGGGTTTGATTTTGGTGGGCCGGGGTAGCTGTAGTTTTATTTTGAGGGTTTGTATTAGCCGGGGTTGATGTTAGAGTTGGGGTAACTGGGCTGGGTGTTGTGGGAACTGATCTGTTTGAAGGCGTTGTTGAACGACACGTGGGTTCAGGAGTTGTAGGTCCAACAATCACGTTTCTGTCAGTGTCGGCCAGATATGACACCACACCAAAATCACCCATGTTTTCGATCACATTCAACTGGCAAGAGCAAGAGGCACAAGTTACATGGACGTACAAATCCCCCCCCCTACATTTATAGTTATGCTATTTGACAGCCTTAAATAGTCAAATATAGCAAGATAGAGAAGACCTGCTATATTTAAAACTTTTGAGGTGATATGAGTTGATCATGTATTCTTTTATCTCTGACCAAAAGTACATGCATTCAGTAAGTGGCTAAAATGTATTGCATAATGCAAATCTATCGCTACTTCTGTGTTTATTTTAATTTTTTGACAGTTGTGTGAATAATATGCAACTGCAGAAATAATTAACTATAGTGTTCGATGCTAATGTTTTACATTTTTACACTAGTAAACTATCACTTTTTTTATGACTTGAATTTAGGGATGCTTATACATGAATGTTTTTCATTCTAGCATAAATGTATAATTTAATTTGATTCGTAAAATAAAATGAATTGAAATCCCTCTAAGTTGTTTTCAAGATAAGCAGCACTAAAAAAAAAATTTTTTTTTTTGCTTTTCAACACTGTACAATTTCTACAGGTCGTTAATGTACTAGAAGAGATTGTTGGACTCCAGTTGAGTAGAAATCAATTTGCTTCAGGCGTGTAAAGCCAACAACAACAAAAATCAAAGAAAGATTGCTGGTCACACACTGAATTAAATCCAGGCTGAAGTATGTCTAGCAAAAATATAATTTAGCATATAAACGACATTGCACAATGCAAATGAATCGTTGTTGTAGTTTTTAATTCACTGTGCACTTTTTGCACTATGTAGTTTAAATAATATATAAATAAAATATATTTTTGCTAGATCTTCTCCAGTCTGGATTCAATTCAGTGTGCAGCCAGCAATCTCTTTCTTTGCACGGATTGTTAATGAAATATAAGGTAGCACTTTATTTTACTGTGTCCTTGTTACTTGTACTTACTGTATTATTAACAGTAATTATGCACAATTACATGCAACTATAAACCAAACCCTAACCATATAGAAAATACATGTTAATTAATATTACTCAGTACTTAAATATATAATTACACTGTAATACCTTAAAATAAAGCCTGTATAGTACTGTTCCAATACTGTATTAAAATGGTGCATATTTACCCTTTATTCATTTTGAATTGGTTATGAAAAAACAGTACTTATGAACTCTTTCTGTGAGAGTGTGCAGGTTAAATCTGAAGTACAGGGTGAAGTTAGTGACGGTGTTCAGGTTTGTCCAGGTGTTCAGACGACGGGACATCAGCCGTCTCCGGTGCAGGAGGAGGAAAGGGTGGAGACGAAAACAAGGCACACACAGAGAGGGAGTCGAGAGAATATGTGCTCCATTTATTGGAAATAACAGAGGAAGTCATCATTATCTGTGAGGTCAAACAGGAAGTGAAGTCATAACTGCTGTCATAATGGGATCGTGCATGCAGTGATTTATTAGAAATGTGAAACATAGAGAATCCACAGAAAGCTTACAGCAGGGGCATCGTTTAAAGATTTCTTTACAGCACTGATATAGACTAATTGATGTTTTTTTGTGAATCTAAGCCCCTGATTTTCAGACAGAGTAATGATAAACTATACAGAAATGGAGCGTCCATTTGTCCCTCAATTCAAATCGCTCAATCTTTTGCAAAACTACACAAGAAAAACCACTCGCAATACAACCTGGAGTCAAACTGCATTCATTCTCTAATCTGGGCTTTAAACTATTTTACTAACACCACGATGGAGAAAATGGTCAAGTAAGCAATGCAAGCTCTGAAACTAAATCTATACAGAAAAAGATTTGTTTCCAGTTATAGCACTATTTTGACATTGTGGGTAGCGATGGATTAAAAGTTGGACCAAGGCTTTTCAATCTGCAACCAAGATATTAGCACCATGTTCTTACTCTCCCGGGTTCCTCGTCTGGGATGAAGACACTTACGGTGAAGTCGCCGCTCTCCGTGCCGTACTTGTTCTTTACCAGGATGCTGTACTTGCCGGAGTCAGACGTACTGACGCTGGTGATGGTGAAACTGGCAAACTTGCCGGACTCGAACTTCAGAATGTAGTGATCGTTGGAAACCATCTCGCGCTCATTCTTTAGCCAGGTGACCTCGGGTACGGGGTCGCCCCAGATATTGCAGGTCAGATTCAAAGACTACGAGAGAGGAGCGAAGAGACAAACAGATACTGAAAATGGGAAGTTTTGTCATTTTTGTCTTTTCAAGCCATACTGAGATCCATAGACACTACCTTGCCCTCTTGGATGGTCACAACATCAGGCAGACCACCTGCCACACGCGCACGATCTGTGAAAAACATAACGATTAGACATTTCCAATACACTCATACCACTTACAAAAGATACAGTTAAAGTGAAGCCTTGAGCATGTATTTCTGCCTTCATCTACTCACTTCTCTCTGCAGTTGCTGCAGCCCTGAGGAAAAGATGAAGATGGGAAAAGAAAATATCTTTAGTTATTCAACCGCTCGAGCTGAATAGTATCTGCCATAAATCGCAAATCATTTTTGACACTTACTTGAGTCTTTGAAATTCAGCGTATGCATCGTCAAATGCTGAAAAAAAATACAATTTCAATTTAAATGCATGATTATCATAAACACTCAAAGCCTCCTGAGCTACCTAATTAAACCGCATTTTAAGATGCACTTACTCAGTAAAAAATTATATTTTAAATACATACAAATTTTAAATAAATACAAAAAATGCACTTTTAAAAAGAGTACTTATTATGAAAATAATAATAATTTAAAAGAATATACTAAAGTGATAACTGAATGTAATGTTTTCAGACACTTAACTGCATGTTAATGACAATTAAATGAAAATGTAATTTAGTTTAATTTTATATTAAATGCAATTAGCTGAACTTTAGCGTGATTTTGACCCACTTAAGTAGGACTTAAGTACATCTTTATAATTACTTGTATTGTCTTTGAAATTTGGTTAAAGTACTGCTGAATGTACTGACAAGCATTTATGATAAACTAAAATATTCTTTAATGTCATTTCTATTGAAACTTGTATGTCATGTATTTAAAAATATCAATCAAGTATCAATCAATCAAGTGCTTTACATGTGCTTTAGTGTGTTAGCCACACATCAAAATAAGTTTACTAACTTTAAAACATTACAAACAATTATTAAAACAAAACGATTTAAAATGTACTTTGAAGTAAAACTTGTAATAATTTGACGTTTTTACAAAGTGCACTTTTAAAAGTGTACTTAAGTATGCTAAGAAACACAGTCATGGAAGTGTGTTAAAAGTGGCCTTTTATTTCATTATTATTATATTATTTCCAAATATAGTTCAAAAAAAAAAAATTCTTTTAAGATCTGAAGTACACTACATGTGCACGTTCAATACAGATAAGCACACTTATTTTTCACAAACGGAGATCCCATCACAACTAAAGTGAACCACAGTGTGATTTTTGCCCGCTTTGGCCATGGACAGTGTTTTTTCATTTTGGTCCAAGTACTCTCATTTTTCAGAGGAGAAAGGATCTGACTGTTGCAATTTGACGCTTAGTCGCAGTCGTAATATAATGAAGGCAGCAGGCAGCAAGGCAGGTCACTACACTCTAAAGAATGCTGGGTTAAATACAACCCAGTGCTGGGTAAAATAGGGACAAACCCAGCAATTGGGTTGTTTTGACCCAGCGGTTGGGTTACTACCCAGAAGTCGACTGATGCATGTTACTAATCAAAAATTAAGTTTTGATATATTTACAGTAGGAAATGTACAAAATATCTTCATGGAACATGATCTCTACTTAATATCCTAATGATTTTTGGCATAAAAGAAAAATGGATAATTTTGACCCATACAATGTATTGTTGGCTATTGCTACAAATATACCCCAGCGACTTAAGACTGCTTTTATGCTCCAGGGTCACATATACTTTATCAATATTGTGACCACATTAAATTTTTGTCACAGATACAAACATTTGAAATTGACATTTAATAATTTGAAAATGTATTTAAAGCAAACCCGAAACTAGCGGCATGTGGAAAAATATGCTATACAGAGAAACTTGAGCTCACGTACTTCTCTCATTCAGCACAAATAAAAGCTTTGTATTTTTGGCGTTAACTACTATAACTTAACTATAAAACGTTAGTTAAACATTAACTATAAAAGTCGCTTTGAAATACAAGCTGCATATTTCAGATGATTAAATTTGTATTATTTATTTTTTTGCTGTTGTTGTTATTATTATTATTATTTATTTATTTTTTTTGATCCTGGTCTGTAATATGACTTGTGCTATTCACTGGTTGTTGAAAAATAAAAAAATAAAATAGACTCATTCCTGACAATACAGTAACAACTAAAAAAAGGAACAAAATAATAAAAGCTGTATGTAACTTGTGAGAATGATATCTTTTTTCTGCATGTCATGTGTGGGGATCCATAATTTAGACATTTTCAAGGTTTACATAAAGTCTTCTTCTGAGATAAAAATTTCAAACATGAACTAAATCCCACATTTATAGCTGTACATTGAACTTCAAATATTTTTTTTTTTGTCAAAATCATTGTCAGAAAATGTCTTAATGCTAGAAAAATGTCATGCATTCTTAAGTTTAAGAGAAACGCTTCTTAAAAGGACAGTTTGCCCAAAAACTATAATTAATTTTCTGATTAAAATTTCTTTCATCGTTTACTCATCCTCAAGTTGTTCCAAACCTGTATGAGTTTCTTCCTTCTAGTTGAACACAAAAGAAGATATTCTGAAGAATCATGGAAACCAAACAGTTGACGGTAGCCATTGACTTCCACAGTGTTTTCTTCAGTACTATGGAAATCAATGGCTACCGCCAACTGTTCGGTTTGTGCTCAACATAAGAAAGAAACTCATACAGGTTTGGAACAACTTGAGGGTGAGTAAATGCTGACAGAATTAGCTAACACTTTATTTTAAGGTGTCCTTGTTACACATGTTACATGTATTTACCATTGAGAAATTTTAACCAAACTATGTTACAGACTTTTCATTAAGACCCTAAAGAATCATATCAACTTGTGGAAAATGGGCATCCAATGACCCCTTTAAATGCATAATTACACTGTAACAAGGACACCTTAAAATAAAGTGTAACTCAGAATTATCATTTTTGGGTGAGCTGTCCCTTTAAACACAGTCACATGTTCTTACTTGTGATGCCAGGTGACATGCAGCTCGTCGTTGTAGTAGCTGACGAAGGTGTAAAGCCTGATCCCCTCCTCTGTGCTCTGGATCTTCAGTGGAGTGGAGGAGTTCGCTGGACAGAAAGAACGTCAACATCGGTCATGCACTGCTGAAACTATATGGTACTGTGAAGATTTTTATGAGGACATATGAATTTGTTTACTATGTCCTGATACAACATTTATGTTTGAATCTTACCAATAACACTGAAAACCTGGTTCATCAGGTCTTTGAATCCTGGAAAACAGATCATAGAAAATCAGTGATAAGCCAAAAACAGACAGATAATATCAGGAAGAAACAATCAATAATAGGTTTCACTTTTTTTGTTGTTGCAGTGATTATTGGAGAAAATCTGCTGAATTGGTATAAATATGATCTAATGTACAAGTATTAAGGGACAATTTAGATGAAAAATATACACACAGCACAAATTAGTGCATGTTAGAATAAGAAAGTAATTTTAGAGCGTTTTATAATAGTAGTAGTACTTTTCTGCTATGCTACCTTGGTCAGTGAGGTTGAGTGTGGAGGTGTCTTTGCCTCTGTCATCCTTCAGAACTACTTCATATATACCAGCATCCTTTTTGGAGATCTGCCATTGACACAAACAAACACAAAATTCCTAGTTAAGTATGTTTGTGTGATCTCCAATCTCACACTACAGGAGCATATGTCCGAAAGCCAGGCTTTTCTGGGTCACATGTCTTTGGCGTAACATTGACAGGAATCGATGAAGATGAAACCAACAAAGTAGAGAAAGACTGGAAACCCCAATGGATAATATGAGATGGAAAATATCCTCAAAATAATTCACCAATCAGAAACACAAACAGAACTGACAATGAGCAAATATAATGAAAAAGCTGATATGGGACAATCAAGACGGTAAGAGAAAATGCTGAAAAATGGGTAACACTTTAGTTTAGGGACCAGTTCTCACTATTAACTAGTTGTTTATTAGCATGCATATTACCAGCGTATTGGCTGTTTATTAGTACTTATAAAGCATATTTTAATGCCTTATTCTACTTGACCATATTCTAGATGCCTTTATCCTTCACATACCTAAACTTAACAACTACCTTAACTATTAATAAGCTGCAAATTAAGACTTTACTGAGGCAAAAGTTGTAGTGAGTTAATAGTGAGAACTGTTCCCCAAACTAAAGAGTGACCATATAAGGATATGTTTGTGATTTATATGTTAATATATGGCAAAAAAAAAGTCATTTTGTCAGTTTGCTGAATTCAAGCAGCATAGCACATATCAAGACTGTGAGACTTGCTTATTTAAATTTTTACTGTATTAATTCTCAATATTGTATATTTTAAAACATTAAACTGGTGTTTATATGTCATTGTATTGTATGTTATATTCTACTTTCCATAACATAAGACTGATAGAATAGTGACCTATTTAATTTTTGTCATCAATACAAGCATTTGACATTTACATTTAATAATTAGAAACACTATGTATTTCAACGGGCTGCATCCTTTGCTGTTCATTTTCTTTCCTTTTTAAACACATTTATTCCTGAAGAAGAAAAAAATGTGGCCATGAATTAAGAAATCATTGAGCATGTTTTATTAATCAACTCCCATGATTTAACTAAAACAATGCAATGATTTAAATAAAACAAGGAACGAAGAAATAAAATGTGCTTGTAACTCGTGGGAATCTTTTTTTTTTTTCACGTCATGTGTGGAGCTTTGTAATTTTGACATTTTCAAGGTTTACATGAAGTCTGGGGACAGTTATACTAGTTAATTATCTCAGGTTTGCATGTAAATTTTTGAGCTTGAATTGCCTGTGCAATTTGGTGAAAATTTAGGAATTATAGGAAAGTCATATATACTGTATATATATAATAGCAATACTAATTAACTAATGTGGTTAGTTAATCATTAAGTAAACATCTCTACTTAATATTTAAATGCTTGTGGAGGCCATATGTGTCACCTGACTATATTTTTAATATGTGACCCTGGAGCACAAAAGCAGTCTGAAGTCGCTGGGGTATATTTGTAGCAATAGCCAAAAATACATTGTATGGGTCAAAATTATTGATTTTTCTTTTATGCCAAAAATCATTAGGATATTAAGTAAAGATCATGTTCCATGAAGATATTTAGTAAATTTCCTACTGTAAATATATCAAAACTTAATTTTTGATTAGTAATATGCATTGCTAAGAACTTCATTTGGACAACTTTAAAGACGATTTTCTCAATATTTAGATTTTTTTGCACCCTCAGATTCCAGATTTTCAAATAGTTGTATCTCAGCCAAATATTGTCCTATCATAACAAACCACACATCAATGGAAAGCTCATTTATTCAGCTTATGACTGGTTTTGTAGTCCAGAGTCACATATATGAGGAGTAATATCTGGGTAATAACGTGTGAAGCGCTGCTCACCTGAGCGATCTCCAAAGTTAACACTCCTTCAGAGAAATCCAGTTTCTCATTGACCTTGATCTCTCGCCCATCCTTATACCACAGCGCCACAGAGTCTTTCTTCATATTAGCAACCTGCATCACAGGTTAATACGTCACTAATTAAGAAACAGGCAGCACTGCGGTTTAATTGGAGTGTTTCATCAGAGAGACGGCTCACCTTACACTTCAGTCTCACACAGCACTCAGGTGTGACTTCATAACCGAGATACTCCACGAAGTGTGGACCTTACAGAGCATGAACAGCATGATTAATGTACAAACACAGGGAGTATACAGTATGTGGAATGAAATACTACAATACTACTTTTTTTACAGCATAGTATGTACACTATGCACAGTCTGTCCACCTTATTTTGAAATGCAGATGCAAGCTATTTTCTGTGAATGTGCAAAACTTCTGAATCGTTAGCTGGTAGGTTAATAACTAGAAGAATAACAAAGTGCAGTAAATGGTAGAAGTATTTGCGCTACAACCTACTTTGTTTATAATTATGACAATACCTTAAAATATGTGACCCTGCCTGTGAAAACCCAGCTAAAGTCTTTTTTTTTGTGATTTACCGTTTTCTACATAAAATCATAAAGATGTAGAACATTCTGTGAAAATATAACCTTTATATCTTTAATATTGACTGAGTAAGGCCATGACAAAGATTGAAATCATAGTGAAATGAATGGTTAAAAAATCAAACTTTGATGCTTGTTATCTCATAATTAGATTTTGAGACTTTAGCCTGGATTTCACAGACAGGGTCACAAATTATGAATATTAGCAAGCAGCATAACAGGTGTTTTTGCACATCTATAATAACTGGAAGTGAAAGACACTGGAAGTTACAAACGGCCGCATCCGCTCTTAATAATAAGGTGGATAGATGTGTGGAATAAATTAATATTTGCCAAAATGTGCATTATTAAATAAATAGTTCAGACTCTAACTTCTGATTAGTGTAATTTTAGTAAAACTGATATACTATAGTTTTTTTGTTTTTGAATTAGAATTCATTCACTTTTTTATTTTGTTAATTTTTTAGTAATTTTGTTGTTAGTAATTAGTTTTTGTTTTGTAAGAATATGTCTATATAGTTTTTATTCATTTATATTTATTAGTTTTAGTTTATTTAGTTTTAGTAAATCAAGTTTACTAACATGTTTACTAACTAATCAAGTAACTAAACGGAAATTAGAAATATTGCATGGGAACTAGCTGAAATAAATAAGTTTAAGTTTTTTTTATATATTATATTTAAGTTAACATTTCTTTTATTTCAAGTACCGAAATTAAAAAAAAAAAAATTAAAATTTTTTTTTTTTATGGTTTTAGTTTTAGTTAATGATAATAACCCTGCTTCTGATTAGATGAGTTGTGTTTGAGGCTGTTGCAGAATGCCCATAAATGCACAACTGTGATCGCACATTAAAACAAACCTCTGTGTTTTTTTATAATCTGAAACATGCTGCGATTTATATTAAAACAACTTGTATATAACGCAATTAAGCACACATTAGGGCCGAATGAGATTCAATTTTGCTATTTTGAGTGTGACGTACTGTCAGGTGTGACTTATTTTCTGCAAAATAATTAGTCTAATAGTCACTTCACATCAAGGGCCGGTTGCAGCAGCTGTATAAATTAAAACTAAGCTTAAGTCGCAATTTACGCTAAATAAATGACTGTTGCATCAAGTTTAGTATAATCTAAATATTTCAATGAATTGAAGCCTCCAACCAGACAGCTGGAATAAAATCTATCCGGCCTCATAGCAAAAACGTTGCATAATCATACCTTGTTTCCTAATCCATTCTTTTTTCTGGAACTCTGATTCCTTCTGTAACTGCTTGAACACTGAAGGAAATGAGATGGCGTTATCGGTACACACTCTATACATGAGATGCATATATGTACGTGTATATGGACTTTCAGATGTACCATCTCCGATCAGCACTAGACTGGACTGGTTAGTGGCTTTGCCGTCTTGAAGCTGGAAAGTGAACGTTCCCTCGTCCTCTTTGCCCAGAGACTCCATGAACATCTCAATGGTGCCAGTATTTTTATCAAAGTTCATCTTGTATTTCTGCAACACAGAGAAAGTGTTAATGCGGAAGCAAGCCAAAGGACTATTTCCAATCAATAGCATGTGCAATGCTTCATGCGCTGCGTGTTTGTTTCTGTGTTCCTCTAACCTCTCCCTGGTGGACCACATTGTCATTGAACACGTATTCAACTTTTCCATTGGCAGAGATCTTCTCAGCCTGCAACCAGAAGCGAACTCTGCCCTTCTCCAGCAGCTCCACGGCCAGCTCTGTCTTCAGAGGGATGACTGGAGAGGGGGGATGAAAATGCATTGTAGAACGTTTAAGAGAACTTTAAGAACAATAGAACAAAACATGAATTCAGTCCTGAATGATGTTCATTGCATTGGAGACTTATGAAGGAATGGAAGTTGTACTTAACTTTGATACTTACGCTCTGTTTTTGTATCGAAACACAATGTCGTAACCAGGCATGATGCAATTTATAAACTGGCAAGCGATACATCTTTCATGCTAAACAAGTTTTTGTCTTAACCAAAGGATAAGTGTCATGTGACACAAGATTTTGCCACTCCATCGAGCTCGTTTGTAAAATCCTGCATTACATAGCTGTATTTTAAACGTTAAAAATTAGTTCAGTTCACACATTAATATGCTTTCGTTTATAGGACAGAACAATTAGCACACTATTTTAAATACATTTAATAGAACTACTCTTGTATAAAAAAAAAATACATTAAAAAGTATAAACTGCACTTTCAGATAGTATAATTTTAATGAAATAAAAGACCACTTAAGTGTACTTAAAGTAAGACACTTTCATGACTGTTTCAAGTACACTTTAAAAAGTGCACTTTGTAATAATGTCAAATTAACAATTTATTTTAAAGCATTATTAATACTTTAACGTAATAAAGTATTATTATTTTATTTTAAATCATTATGGTTTAATAGTCTTTTCTTGTGCTTTTAGAAGTACACTTATTTTGATGTGTTGACTAACATACTAAAGCAGATATGAAATACTGTGGTACTTGGCATTACATTTAAAGTTAATATTTTTTAAATGTACTATATTGCAACTTCATTATTACAAATGTGTAATTACATTAAAGTGTATTTCGTTTTACACACGTACTTTACATGTACTTTAGTCCTACTTAAGTGGCTCAAAAACACTCAAAGTTCAACTCATTTTAACTAATTTAAACTATAATACATGTTTATTTAATTGCAAAAAAAACATGCAATTAAGTGTCCGAAAACATTACATTCAGTTCACACTTAAGTATATTATTTTAAAGTATTATAAATGTATTACTTCCACAAAAAAGTACTCTTAAACGTATGGTAAAGTGAACAGGATAGAGCAAGTGCTCACACGTTCAAAATAAAAAGTTAAGAATGTGAAACGTTTATTCAACAGTGCATGTGACGTGATGTTTACTCACTGGGGAATTTGTGGTCGTGGCTGATCTTCAGGAGTTCTTTTAGAGCTGTGAGGAACAAGACAGAGAAGTAGTCAGAATCAATAACCAGTGGTGACTTGGTAAATTCAAACATATAAAAATGAAAAAGGTCAATGAACTCACTTTCCTCAGAGAGTGTGTAGCTGGCAGAGGCTCCATCAGTGTGTGTCACGAAACAAGAGTAGATGCCCAGATCTTCTTCTGAAGGTGTTTTAAAGATGGCTTTGGATCTACAGACAAATATTGAAGAGTTAGAATATGATCCCATGCTAATCTTTAGTTACTTATAGTTAATAGAATGTCTAAAGTGGACTATCAAAATAAAGTGTAACCCCCTTTTTTTTTGTGTAGTTATAGCTCTGGAAATGTGCTGAAATTGTTTGCTACATTAATAAATAACATATTTTTTAAATGTTCTACCCAAGACTGATTGATCAGAAGGTACACAAGTTGGTTTGAAGGGACATTTGAACCAAAAACAAAAAGACAAAACATTTACTCAAACTCATATCTTTTCAATCCCTCATCTTTAAAACAAAAATGAAGATATTATTAATATTATCTCGTTGTCCATCCATTAAAAGTCTATTAACAAACAGAAGTCAAGCAAGCATATTTGAGCCATGATCTAAAAGTGGATCTGTCACCCATGGCTTTTCCATTTTGGCCTAGTTTTTGTTACATAAATAATGACACGGTGTGATATGTCATGTGTTGTTGTTCATCTGAAGTTTTATTTTCCAGATTTTAAGACCTGCTAAGGACCAGATTTTTATTATTTTATTACGTCCTGATATGGAAAGCCAGGGAATTCAATAGGGTGCCCTTTCTTTTTCACATGACTGTACATCTTGGATGGCCTGAGGGGGAGTAAAGTATCAGCAAATTTTCATTTTTGGGTGAACTATTCCTTTAAAAAGTATTTTCTGATGAATAAACGTCTTATGGGTTTGGAACAACATTTTCATTTTTGGTTCGACTAACCCTTTAAGCCATAATTTTAAATTTGATAATTAGTAATTTAACAAAACTCATTCGCCCATAGATACTTACTTGTTACCCTTGGTCTCTAAGGTCATGCGTTCAGGTTCTGTCATTTCCATGTAGTTCTTGGACCAGACGAATTTGGAGTCAGCGGTGAGGTTAGAGCACTCAAAATTCAGTGAAATGACGCCGTCATCGTCAACATTCACAACTATCTCGGCAGTTCCTGTGAGAAAGAAATGGCTTGTTGGATTTTGTTGAGAGTAGTTAAGTCTTGTTGATTTTGGTTTGTTTTTAGGGTTAACCTGGATTTAAAAACAACTCTAAACAGATTCCTCATTTGCAAAAGCACCCACTGTAAAGATTATGAGATTACGTGTAAAAAGAAAAAAAAAAAAGTAATTTTCAGAGGTATATCAAGTTATTTGAAGAGAGATCATGAAGACAAATGTATGAATTGTACAGAAGAAAAGGATAATTTTAATTTATTTCACATTGATTTCAATTTTATCTGCAGTAGCTTTTTTTGCAGTACAGTAAAATGTTATTTGATAAATTCTAGTTCTGTCTAGTTTAGTACCTGGTTTAGTCACTGCCTCAACTGGTTCTGTTGGATCTGATGCTTTTCCTACACCGGCTTTGTTCTGAGCGCGCACACGGAAAACATACGATTCCCCCTCCTTTAGATCCTTGATCTAGAATAAGAGAAACAACATTTACTACCATAAACCTACCCTTGTGAAAAAAGAAGTGTGCTTAATTGTATTAAATGTGAACTTGTAGTGTGCTTCAAATCTTAAAAGTATATTTAAAAAGATGACATAATTGTATAGATAATAGTTATGAAATAAAAGGCCACTTAAGTGACTCAAAGAGTGACACTTTCATGTCATAACACACTTAAGTACACTTTTAAAAAGTGCACTTTTTAATGTAAAATTAAAAGTTGTAAAGTACATTTTGAGTCAATATGTTTTAATAATCTTTTTTTGTGCTTATTTTGACATACTACAGCACATGTAGAGGTTATGGTTAATATATATTAAATGTACTAAATTGCAATTATCATTTCAAATGAGTAATTACAAATATATTTAAATACATGACATACAAGTTTCAATAGAAATGACATTAAAGTATATTTTAGTTTAACATAAATGCTTGTAAGTACATTCAATGGTACGTTAACCATATTTCAAAGACAACAGAAGTAATTATGAAATTACATATAAAGATGTACTTAAGTCCTACTTAAGTGGGTAAAAAACCCTCTAAAGTTCAGCTAATTGCATTTAATACAAATTTATGTATTAAAAAATATTTTAATTGCAATTAACATGCAGTTAAGTTTCCAAAAACATTACATTGAGTTTTCACTTAAGTATATCCTTTTAAATTATTTCCATAATAAGTACTCATTTTAAAAGTATGCTACAAGAGTACTTAATTTTCTCAAAGGTATACCAATATCACAACCCTTAACAAACTCCACTGCCCTACGGCTTCCATATGCATACAAACCTTCTTGAATGTCTTGTCAGTAGCTTTCTCATTGACTCCTCTCCACATCTCAAAGTCTGCGTCAGCCTCTTTGATATCAATGTAGTATCCATTGACAGCATCACGACCCTGGTAGACAGGCGGTTTCCAGAGCAAGACCAGAGAGTCCTTACGCACCTCCTGTACTTGGAGGTCATGGGGTGGTCCTAAAAACAGGTTTATAGTGTAGAGCATTTCAGACAGAGCCGATGTGAGAAACAAGAGAATATGTTCTGTTCTGTATGAGTCTGGATGAGTCTTAAATATTTAGATTCTTATATGATTAGTTAGATTAGGTTAGATATCATGTGAAATTTACTTCCAGAATTCTGAAGGATGTGCTTTAAATCTACAGTGTATTTTATTCTATTGGAATTATAATATTGGGAACTTTGAATGTTCCAAAAGGTCTACTTTTGTTTTGCTATTGTTGGAATCTCTAGTATCCTTAAGAATTGGTTACAAATTCTGATTTGAATAAAATGTCTTTGGGATTTTTACTTTTTTTTTTTACAAGGATTGCAGATTATCAGTGTGTTTAGTATCCCCTTGTGAAAAAGAAGTGTGCTTAAATATATTTAATGTGCTCTTGTAGTGTACTTAAAATCTTAAAATTGCATATTTAAAAAAAAAAAACTGAGGGACTCACACGCAACTATTACAAAAGGTTCAAATGCTCACTGATGCTCCAGAAGGAAAAACTTAAGTGCACATTGTAATGCCATTAAAGTATATTTAAGTTTAGCATAAATGCTTGTTAGTACATTCAACAGTGCACTTATTATATATATATATACACTATATTTCAAAGACAATATAGAAATTACAGAATATTGAAATTATTAATTATTAATATAGATATACTTAAGTCCCACTTAAGTAGGTCAAAAACTCATTCATTGCACTTAATATAAATTTTAACTATAATTAAATGTAATTGCAATTGCAATTGTAATTGCATGCAATTAAGTGTCCAAAACATTACATTCATGCTTAAGTATATTCACACTTAAGTACTCTTTTTAAAAAAAACATGCTTTTTAAAAGAGTACTTAAGTGTACTTTTTTCACAAGGGTCACATTTATTGTAAGCTTTCCAGCTCTGGAAAGTAAAAAAAAAAATCTAATTCATTTGTGCCTACCCGGTACAGCAATAGTCCACTCCTCACACTTGAAAGTCTCACTGGGAAGAGACGGGATGCCCACACCAGCCATGTTGGCAGCACGTACCTGGAACTGGTACAGCATGTTTTCCTTTAGCTCTGAAACCTAGACAGAAAGACAAGGTTGGAGATCACAAATTGGCCACATCATGGTCTAATAATTTGCTTGTTATTACACAAATGTCCCACTTACTCTATAAGCTCTCTCACTGACAGACTTAATATTCGCCTCATGCCATTTTCCTGGAACTCCTCCGATGACCTCACGATAATCAACAAAGTAACCAGTGATGTCAGCGCCACCGATGAAAGTGGGCTGTTTCCAGGCTAGTACCATCGCGTCCCGTACACACTCCAGCACAGTGATGCCGTCTAAAGTGTTTTTGAAAAATCACATACCCTGCCTTTAAATATATTGTTTTTAATTATATTAATTCTGTAATTAGTGCTCTTTTTAAAAGTACGATAAAGTGTACTTCTTTTCCACAAGGGTCAATTGAACAGTAATGACCAAATAAATGATTAATGAGTGAACTGGATAAATTGCAATACACTAAATAAGTGTTTAAAAAAAAGATGCAAAAATGCAAAGAAATTAATTAAGAATAAATGGAAAAAACAACAGGAGAGGAGAAAATGGAGGACAGGTCAACTCTGAGGAGGGATGCCGATGGGTGATGTTCCAGAGAGTTGGTTTTCTCTCTCTCTTCTCACCTGAGCCTCTTCGTCCTCTCTCTCGCTCTCCTGCTTTCTCTTGTTCCAGAGAAGCGTTTACTGAGGACTTACGACTGTCCGGCAACTCTGTTGCCGACTCCTTTTGGCTACAGTTGGGCTCTAACAATTCAGTGCAAGAGTTTGCAACCTGTTTAGCAGTTTCCTGCCCACAAGCAGGTTCTGGTTCTTGCTGACTGGCACTCTTGCCCTGTTTGCCTTCATTTAATGCAGTTGGATGGCCTTTGTGGTCAGTGTTTTGACCCCCTCCCTCAACCCTCTCACTAACATTAGCTATGTGTGTTAGAGGCGTGTCAGCAGGGGAGTGAGGCGCCGCATGCCTGCCCACTCCGCAAGAGCTGTGCTGGGTTAGTTCGACCCCATTACCCCCTGACTCCAGACACACACCATGAAGAATACCGCCCCCTACAGGAGTTAGCAGAGAAAACAGCAAGAGAGAGCAGACATGAATAAAATTCAAACACATTCACAATGCTTCACAATTAATTCCTTTAATCTAACTATTCAAGTTCATGAGCTGTGCTGGGTTAGTTCGACCCCATTACCCCCTGACTCCAGACACACACCATGAAGAATACCGCCCCCTACAGGAGTTAGCAGAGAAAACAGCAAGAGAGCAGACATGAATCAAATTCAAACACATTCACAATGCTTCACAATTAATTCCTTTAATCTAACTATTCAAGTTCATCTCAGTAGAAAACGTCAGCAGAAGTCTGTATGCAAGCAAGAGACAGTCAAATTTGTTTTTGCAATGTTCTATTCAAATTATGAAGAGGCAATGAAAACAAGCAATGAAAAGTTATTTTTAGGAGAAATGAGCAAAGGGAAACGAAAAGAAAGTTTAGAAAGATCATTTGGCAGATGATAGAGTTATTTAGTGTAGTTTATGCATTTTAAAGTCACAAAGGTTATTTGTTCTGAATCTTTATGAAAAAGGACATAACATCACACCATAGCGTAACATCAAGGCACATAAAACTCAATGAAAGCCACATAATGCAACAAACTAAAACATGTTTGTTAGTCGACCAGCAGCCCAAATAACAACAACTAGTAAGTGTCTATCATCTAGATTTTTATTTTTAGCATTAATATTTAATATAAATTATTAATTAATCACCATATGTCAGCTTAAAAAAGGTTATTTGTTCTGAATCTTTATGAAAAAGGACATAACATCACACCATAGCGTAACATCAAGGCACATAAAACTCAATGAAAGTCACATAATGCAACAAACTACAACATGTTTGTTAATCGACCAGCAGCACAAATAAAAACAACTAGTAAGTGTCTATCATCTAGATTTTTATTTTTAGCATTAATATTTAATATAAATTATTAATTAAACACCATATGTCAGCTTAAAATCATTCTATATGTTTTATTTGATCTACTTAAAAAAACTGCAAGACAAATTAACTTATTGCATCAAAAGGCCTATTTATTGATTGTCATGTAAAATAATGACAACTACTGATTAAAAATAAATTAATTTTGTGCTTGAAAATAAACTGAACAAAACAATGTCACAGCAGGCATGTGATCAACTAAGGACCAAAAAAATTGAACTACATATATAATATATACATGTAATATATACTGTACATATATATACATATATATATATATATATATATATATATATACT